CTTCCCCTCCCAACTGAACACTTGGCAGAAAAGAGATTCTCTTCTCCAAACCTTCGAAATGGGCGGCGTTGGATTGGAGGGCAGAGGGGCTGGCCAAAGTAAAAGCGATTCTTTAATTTGAGGCAGTCTGGCCGCAGTATTACATTTCCCGACGGGCAGCACCGTTCTCAATTAGAGTCCAAACAACAGACTCCATCTCTATCTCGAGCTGCTCGGTTTATTTTGTTGTTGTTGACAACGTTGCTAGGAAATATTTCCAGTCTCACAAAACGATGTTTTGTCAGAAGTTTTGTGAGCAGGTTTCACAGTTGAGCTCGCACCAAAGGGCTCTGCTTGCTAGTGGCTGACTGCAGATGGCAGGGGAAGCGCTGGCACGGATTTCAGTTTGTAGATCTCAATGCTTTTAAAACTAGCTACGTTAGCACTGTTCGCTTCAAGCTGCCAGTTACTCTTCTGCTGTTGAGCCCCCTGAAAGATGGTGCTTGTGGGCCAACACAAAGCACACCGAGACTCTGTGGCATTAGAGGTGTAAGAGAAAAGGTAGTATCCTTTCAGCTACAAAAAAAAAAAATTATTTTATGGAATTGTTGTGTCTAAAACCAAGTTTCAGCAGCTTTTATAGGCGATGGGAAGCTAGGCCCTGATGAAAGTGATGTAAACGAAGAGGTTTTTTGAGAAAAAAACTGACCCTGATGGGTAGTTACTGTGAAATAACATAATAACATTTCTTGAAGAATTAAAAAAAGACCAAAAAAACCCCAAAAGAACAGCCAAGTAAAAGGTTTTTGCGTCCCTGGAGATTTGAGAATCTCCTGGCAGACATGGATTTTTGGTTTTCCGTATCGCTATTGTGAAATGTCTTTCATGCAACCTAATTATTGGAGTAAATGACTTTGATCGCTGCAAGCTCCGAGTTGGAGATGGAATAATTCCACCGAGAGGCTGATAAGCTTTGCCCCGCTTAGAATCACAGTGCCCCCCTATCTTGGTCGCTTGGGCTTGCCAAGGATGGTAGGGCATCCTGAACGCGTTTCATAACAAACCCACAGTCTAGTCCGTGGCGCTTAGACCATTACTCGGTCAAACAAAATGCTAACGGAGGTGTTTGTTCTGAAGATGCCAACCCAGACGGGTTCTGGAAGATAATACAGATTTCAGACGATACGCTTGCTCCCAGTATCTACCCACGTGCTTTCCGGCCTGTCCTACAAGTCCTCATCATTCACCACACCCTGGCGCTAAAGACCTGCCTTTGTTACACCCCCTGTCCTCAAGCTGGTGCCAATTTGTCGAGCTGATTGAACTGAACCACCATTCCACAGCTTCCAGCATTACTGAAATAAAGGAAATAGGGTCTAGGGAAGACTCTGCCGCAGAAGTCAATGTTCTGCGGGCATAAGTAAGAAAACACGCAGAGGTTTAACTACTGCCACGGCTGTAGGCAGTTGTGAGCTGTCCTTACTCATTTGTAGAGGTTTCCTTGAAACTTCCTAAATATGCCAAAAGAGCTACCTTTCCCCGGGAGACATGTCTGTGAAGAGCTGCTTACCCAGAGGAGAAACCTTATCTTGTGCCTTATCGAGACTATGCGCTTCTCCTTATCCACGGAGCTGCAAACAGCCTTGTATTACCAGAAAAGCTGATAGAAATCAAATATATATTTGGTCTCATTGAACATTTGTACAAAAGATTTGCACAGGAGACCAGAAAGGAGGCTTAGAACCTCCTCTTTTTGCTGCCAGCTACTATAACAGTATTTCAGCAATAGCTGGGCACGCTGTAATACAGCATACGCTGTGCGTCGCTTCCCATGGTAATTAGTCAAATTTCAATACCGAGCTCGTCACTGAATAATCCTGACACTAATGCAATGCAGAAAGTTGTTTGGGAGAAGGAAAACGAGCATCAAAGGCTGCTGAATAAGGCAAATAATACAGACATTAAGCTAGAAAACAGTACTTTGCATAATTTTTGCAATTACACCCCCCTCTCGCAGATGGGCGGGCTCCTAAAGACTAGAGCGATGTTTTCTGTGCAGTGTTTGCTTGCTGCTTAGCTGGGCTTCAAAACGGGGCCGCCTTTTGCAGAGGTTATCTGCAACATCCCTTAATTTTTTACACGCTGCGCCCTGAGGTTCGGTGACGGTTTTGTTGACATCAAGCAACTTTTGTTGCCGGGGCTGGATGCGGTTGCCAGCAGTATTTTTTCTGTGAGGCACGACTGATTTCCGAGCCTTTTAGCGTGGAAGGCAGGCAACGGAATTCTCCGTTTTCTCAGTCACATCCCTTTGTATGACAAGCAGGAATCTTCCACTTACTTTCAGTGTAACTTGGTGTTCAAACCGAGAGAGGAATGCAGTCCGGCCTGAGCCACAGCGTTCTCCTGCTGTTGTTTGGTGACTACAAAACGTGGCTGGACGGAAGACTGAGAAGTTAATTAGAGAATTGCCTGGTGATTGATAACGATACATGTTTTAGGAAGGTGAACGTCACGCCACAGAGCAAACAGTGGTGCTCTGCGAAGCCCCAGCCACACCTGCCAGCTGAGCATCAACAGCCATGTTCACGTGGTGAGTGTGGGAGGATCGCCGGCTACACACCACCAAAAGCTGTACCTGGAGAAGGAAAGGATGGATGAATTGCTGTCTGGAGCCCGAGTCCAGTGAAACAACAGAACCTCGGTGATTTCTTTGACGTGGCGTAACGTTATATCATGTCATTGTGGAATTAAATTTGTGGAAGAAAGGAAAGAGCAAGGAGCACGACACACTTTGAGGATGTAGTGGTCGGCCAGCGTAGGAGATGTACAACTGTAGAGCAACAATCACGACAAAAGGCTTGTTCCATAAAGTAGCGCTCGCAGGGCAGAGGAGGGATGAGCCCGTCAACGCTCGCAGCTGGGGGACCTCGTTCTGCGCTGCCTGCTCTCTGAACGAGTCACGGTGGCCACGAGGAACTTCAAGGGCTCGTTCTGCCGGTCTGCAGCAGTGTCCAGCTTTGCACGTTTCCTCCCACATTGATGTTGGATTCCATTTCTCATCATGTACGCGCTAGGAGTTGTCCGGGTGTTTCAATCTGACAAACGAATCTTTGTGCGCTTTCCTCTCAGACCCTGTAAAAATCTCGTTAGCCTTAATACCCAGCGTGTGGCCAGACTCTGGGGAGGTGGTGAAGCTGTAAATTAAGGCTGAGGCGATGGTTATGGGTCACGGTTTGGGAAATTCAGATTGGGCATTAGGGGAAAAATATCTACCAAGAGGGTAGTTTATTGCTGGAATGGTGCCTGGAGAGCTCCTGGAAGGTTTTGGCTGGGCAGAAGCGTGGTTGACCTGATCTACTGTTTGTGATGTTACTGCTCTGCGTGGGAAGCTGGGTTAGAGCTCTCTGGGGGGTCTCCTCCTTTAGTGCCTCTTTGAATCTGCGATGGTGCACGTACATCGACAAGGGAGTGAGTGGGTTTGGTTTTTCATAGTCACCGAAATTCAGTTGTTATAAACGAAGCGGTAGCAGCCGTGTCTGGAAAATGTTCTTTTTGAAGGTGTAGCTCTTCTTTCTTTCCACTCTAAGCACCTCCCTGTGAGGACAGGCTGAGAGTGTTGGGGTTGTTCAGCCTGGAGAAGAGAAGGCTCCAGGGAGACCTTCTAGCGCCCTTCCAGTGCTTAAAGGAAAGGTGGAGAGGGACTCTTTGTCAGGGAGGGTAGTGATAGGACAAGGGGTAACGGTTTCAAACTGAAAGAGGGAAGATTGAGATTAGATATTGAGAAGAAGGTCTTTACTATGAAAGTGGTGAGACACTGGAAGAGGTTGCCCAGAGAAGCTGTGGCTGCCCCCTCCCTGGCAGTGTTCAAGGCCAGGTTGGATGGGGCTGGGAGCAACCTGGTCTATACTGGAAGGTGTCCCTGCCCATGGCAAGGGGGGTTGGAACCAGATGATCTTTAAGGTCCCTTCCAACCCAACCCATCCTGTGATTCTATGATTGTATAGTCCTCCGTCCCACGGATGACTACGTGGAAAAGACTGTGTGACAAGTGGTTCGTCTTCTCCACCACCCCCGTCGTCCCCACACCCTTGTGGCCAGGAGAAGGCCACGTGCCCACCCACCACAAAGGGAGGTAGTTCCACTTAAGTGCTACTTTACTCCAGTGAGGAATCTGAGCCAAACCCACGGAGAGCTGGTCTGCATTGAGATGCTGTGATTCGTAAGGTCATGACTGGGGTCTGGGAATTTGTGACATGGCACGTGGCTCTTCTTTTGTCGATTTAGTACCAGTGCTACTTTGTGGTTTAGGAGTATTTGGGACTGGCATTGAACAATCTCAACGGTAGGGTTGCGTCAAGGTAAGGAAGTCAGCGTGTGCCGTTACTGGGCTACAAAAGACACCGCTGAGTTGCAAGCGCGGCTACTTCGCTCTGATTGTTCTTACCAGTCACCTCGTTACGCGACACTGAGCATCGCGGAGCCGTTAGAAGACGGAAATAAGGTTAATCTGTGGAGCAAAGGTTTGAATTTGCCTTTTCCCCTTGATCTTCACAATGTGCTTCCTGTGGACCTGAAATTACTAAAATACATTCTAAAGTGTTTAATTTGGGGCTTTCCTGCCGTTTGAGTACGTTGCTTCAGTTCCTTTACGTTTTTTGAAAGGCGGACCGTATCCCTTTCTGCGTAGGGCATCTTAGGCCCTTTTATGCTGAAGCTGTGGAAATTTAAGGTAGTGGAGATCAAAACAGCAGATCAGGGGTGACTTCTCCTCTGGCCATCGGTAAGGGCGTCCCCTCTAGTCCGTGTTTGAAACGGCCGAGGTAAAGATGCCGTCACTGCCGAGATCCGTACCTCCCAGCCCTACCGCGTACCCCAGGCAAGGCTGGATTTGTGCCGCGTGGTGCGATTGCCGTGCTCACCTTCTGCTCTGTTGGTTTCCTGGCGGGGGGCGTTGGTAGCCAAAAGAGCTCTCCTTAGGCTGGGTCAACTCGGATGTTTACTGTACTCATTTTCTCTTCCAGGATGATCCCAGCTGCTAGTAAATCCTTCTTCTTGACTGATCTGGTTGCAGGACGTGAGTACGACCTCTGTGTTCTTGCTGTTTATGATGACGGATTGACATCTTTGACCGCAACCAGAGTGATCGGATGCGTGCAGTTCACCACCCAGGAAGAGTACAAACAGTGCCGATCCCTTCACGCGCAGTTTCTTGGAGGAACCATGATCATCATCATTGGGGGTATCATTGTGGCTTCAGTTCTTGTTTTCATCTTCATCCTCCTCATGAAATACAAAGTCTACAACAACCACCACAAAAATAAAACTACTAAAGTTAATAATGTCTGCTCTCAAACCAATGGCAGCCAAAGTGGCTCGATGGCTCGATCCACTTCTAAACTTGCAGAGAGGCGGGAAAGTTTGCACCAGGAATGCTCGGGCTCTTCCATCAAAGGAAAAACTGTTGTAGATTTGGATTGTGAAAAAGTGACTCCAACCAACACAACCTTTTTAACAACTGAAGCGTTATCTTAATGGCCATGTGACGGAACAGGACACACTAAGGTGGTATTGCTTGAAACATTTTAAGGCGAGTGGTTGTATTTTAAGCTTCACTACTATTGTCTATTTTTAAGATCAGATGGTTTAAAAAATATTTTTTTAATCTGTATACAGTTCTTGCATTCTTAACTATTTTGTTTCAATCTATTAAATATAAGTGTGTGATTTACAAGATTTTTTTACTGGTTCTTTTATAGCATACCCCTCTGGTATCAAGGCAGCAGCATAGCCAAGTCCTACTAGGTTTGTCTTTGGTGAAATGCACTATTTTTTCATTTGGTTACCAACCAGCAGCAAAATTGTACTCTCAGGATCCTCACACTTCCCTTCTCACGGCAGAGTCACGGAGCAGCTTAAACGACTCATCTCTTCAAGGAATGATTTGTTCTAACGAGTGACCAGCTTCTCAGTACCGAGTCATTTTTCGCCATAGGTATGTTGTGTACGTGCTGCTCGCAAACGAAGTAAAATTAGCAGAGGTTCCCCACAGAGGAAAAAAAAAAAAAAAAAAAAAGAAAAAGATACTCTTAAAAAAAAAAGGAGAAAGAAAATGGAAAGAACTTGAAGTACTTTTGCATCTTCTCTCCATTATTCAGCGGCACAGAAATACGAAGCCACGTCGTCTGCTTTGTAACAGCTGTCACCTGCTGAGACTGTGCCTTGGAGAAACCTCCTCTTGCTCTCGGTAGTCAGCCTGGCCTTTGTTTGGGCAGGAAGACGACCCGTCTTGGTTCTTTCTAGATTGTAAACCTTCGCAAACCGGTTGGAATCGGGTGTTTTTGCTACGCCGAAACCCATGCCACAGTCTCCCCCTCTGAAAGCGTTCTGGTGACGGTCTGGTTTTTTTTTTTTTCCTTTTCTGTTGGTAAGTTTGTTGATGGAGGACCCACAGATTAAAGCTGCCGTGTCCTGAGGCACATTGCGCGATCTCGCTGCGACACGGCGTCTCCCGACGGCTTTTGTATCGGTCTCTTATTTCTGTGGCGACGCGTGACGTGTTAACGTAAGGGGCTGAGAGATGAAGGGTGGCGATGTGTCTGGTCGAGTGATTTCAACGCGCCGTATTGAATAACGAAACGTTCCTTTTGTTTCAAGGGATCCTCTCAGATCGAGGTGGGCTCAAAGTTTGGGGGTTGAAATAACTTTTACAAAGCCTACCGGGAGCTGGTGACCTCCACTAAAGAAAATGTCCCCTCTGCCGTCTTCACGGTGGGTTTTGGTGGTGGTTTTGATACTCAGCTTTGAAAGCAAAGCAGGAGGAAACACCTTTTATCGGTCAGACGTCAAGAAATGGAAGGGGAAGGCAATTGAGAGGAGAGGCTCGCAAGCTGAGTGACGGCTTGTGTCTTTCCAGGTGATGGTGTCACAGCAATGAACAGAAAGAAAAGTATTTTTCCTAAGATTGTCGCTTTAACAGCCTCAAAATATCGCTGCTCCTGTTCGGATGGGGAAGAACGGACCAAGTCACCCAGCAGCCGGCCGAGAGCTGCCCAACCGCACGGCAATTGAGGACTGTATTTTAATCCAGTTAAGTCTTTACCGACCGCCGAAGCACGGGGCGGGTTTTTTTTTGGCGTTTCTGTCACGCGCAGATTTGCTGAGGCCGGTGTCCTGGTTTGGTCCTCCAACATAAACGGGGGGAAAAAGTAATTTGAAGGGATTCCGTCACCACAGGCGCGTTTGTGGCGGCGAGGTCAGGCTACGCCGCTCCGCTCCTGTTAGGTTTTCTTTAAAAATACCAACCCACCAGCGCTCTGGGCAGCTGTGCCAATGGATGCCGCTTGGTACGGAGAGGTCGGTGGCGGGGCCAGCGCTCTCCTGGCTGTTCCTCTGGCTTCTCTCTGCCCCCAGGGAGGCAGAACCCTGGCTGGCACTACGGCACAACCGCCTCAGCCTGCTTGCGGTCACCCCTTTAAACGCTCTCGTCGTCCCCATCTCTTCTAAATGAATCCCTCGGGATTACCCCCCCACA